ATCCAATTTTGCAGTTTTGTTGCAAAATTGAGAATAAATGCAAAATGGTTGGAAGCCTTAGATTTCCCCCATTTCCATGAAATGCTAAGTAGATCATTAAAGAGAAAGACAAAATTGTAAGGACACGGGAAGAATGTATATACAGCTAATCTTACTCCTGAAAAAGCTGTGCGTTATTAGGAATATGGAGGTAGTACTTCCACAGTGTGTGCAGGTTTGTGTCTGGTGGGGTTTTGGTAGTGGGAGTGGGTGCTGCTGGTGTGGCTCCTGTAATCAGCTTCAAGAAGCTCCCCCAGCTCCAAGTCAGACCCACATCTGGCCAAGGCCGAGCCGATCAACGCCTCTGTGATAACTTATTGAAGACATGAAAAACCGTTTGGGCAAGTTCTTTTGTTTTGGGGATTCTTTTGTTCTGGAGAGGTGAGGGACTAGAGAGAGACAACCATGCAGACAGCGAGGTCAGAGAAGGAGGAGGAGGGAGGCACAGCAGAGCAGCCATTCCCCTTTGGCCAGTGGTGAGATGGCAGACTGAGCCCTTGCAGCCCTTGGAGATCAACAGTGGAGAACAAGTCCATCCGCAGCCCCTGGAGAACCCCATGCCAGGGCAGATGGCTGCTGCCAAAGAACACTGTGACTCAGAGGGAAGCCTGTGCTGGAGCAGTCTGTCATGGGGAGGACCTTAGCCCTTGGAAGGGACCCGCATTGATAGGAGAAGTTTGAGGAGGGCTGTCACCTACAGCAGGGATGCCACATTGCAACAGGGATGCACTGAGAGGAGGAAGGAGCGGCATTACATTTTTGGAATGTTTAAATACAATGTAGTATATTACTAATATACTACTATTAATAGTATACTAGTATTTTGTAGTATATTATTACTACTGTTGCAATGGATTTTAAGTCATACGTTTAATTTTATTTGATATTTAATTTTTATAAATAACTAGAAATTCCCTATAAGTGGAAACTAATCACACATTACAATTTTTATTCTATAAGTAGTCTAAATGATAGGAGCCCAATCTTACCCACTAGACAGGGAGAAAAAAAGGACAGGTCTGTGTGTGCCAGATTCTGCCTTGGAATACATGTGGGTGGTTTAATCAACATGGCCCACACATCTCCAAGACAGAATTTAAACTTATTAGACTGTCTTTTCACTGCCTTTCATGTCATTCTATCAAATCCCCATTTTTTTCCTGGGAATTGACACGTTCCTGTTGTTTGGATTTGAATCCAGTCATCAGATAAGGTCTTATAAAGGTGGAGAGGTATTCCCACAAGCAGCCTGACTTGTAGCTCTTCCAGAGAGCTTGTCACAGTACTGAAAAGTGGAGCCTTCATGTTGTCCAGCATCATGGAAGGTTCTCTCCCTCCACATCCTAGCCAGATGGACTGTGTCTGGGAGGGAACACACCTGATCGGCTATTTCACTAGGATAAATTTGGGCAAATAGAAGTATAGGCAGAATAACAGCAGTGACAACACTATGTAACTCTCCAACGTTTTGGTTTGCATCTACCAATTTGTTTATTTCAGTTACAAAAACACATGTAAATGAACATGCCAAGCTCTGGCCCACACAGATTTCAATTAGCCATGCCCAGAGATGTCAATTAACAATTAACAGAAAGTTCAGGCTTTCTTCTGCCATGCTTAGGAAAGCTCCTTTGCAATCAGGGGGAAGTTGTCTCCTGGCTTCCGTAGCCCTTACAGGTGGCAGAGGGAGAGTTAGTTGCATCTCCATCTAATTACTGAGATCCAACTGTTATAATCTCTCAAGCAAGAGACAGTCATGGCCTGCCTAGAGCTTTACAGAGTTGTTCAATATTTTGTGTTGGGAGCCAAAAAAACCCCACAGCCCAAACCAGTGGAGTTCCTCAAGTTCATCTATAGCACGCTGATGAAATAATCAGCTGCAGGCTGCACCAGAGCTTCCAGACAGACCTCCTTAAGCTATAGGCACAGGCTGTTTTCTTCATTCTATTGCCAATTCTGTGGAACTTCTAAAGGCTTTTTGTATTTTATGGTTTTATTTGTGTCTGTTTTATTACTTACTTTATATCCTAGCTCTAATTGAAGACATTGGACTTGACAGGATTCATTGCTGCAAAAAACAGCCTAGAAACAATAAACCAAATATTTTTATTTCACTGATTAACACTTCCATTGTTTCACTTCTATACCATCTTGGCAGTTCTCTTACATGTTCTGTGTTAAATCCAAGTCTCTGCCCCTGACAGCTTCTACTGTAAAGGCAGCAGATGAGCAGTTCGGTGAGCAAGGAGGGATGTGCTATCAAGCCCTGCTTCTTCAAAGAGGCCATGAACCTTCATTCTGTAGATAGGGCACTGAGATTTTTGACGGCCCATCTTTTGGACACAAAGGGAGGAAGTCTCCTATTCCTAGCCCGCAAATAATACCAGTTTCCTGTGAACAAGAAAACACGTTTACTTTCTATTTTACTCAAATCTTCCTTGGGAAAAAAACAAACAAACAAACAAACAAAACCTACCTACCAACAGTACCATCACCAGCACATGATGTGTGGTGGTACCACAATTATATTACAAGCTATTTTTCATAACTGGCTTTCTGCCCATAGCTAGTCTGAGGTTTACAAAAGCCCTGAACTTCACAAGTTACAGCCATTTCCACCTAGAGATCATTGGACTTTTGGGATCAATTTGGAATGGAAAAATAATTTTAGATGTAAACATCTTTCTGAGAAAATAAAGTATTTTACATTCAGGCAAACATATTTAAAAGGTGAAATAAAGGACAACATGAAAATATTAATTGCTGGGATCAGGATGACAGAGGGGCACCCTAATAATTATCATTGCGTGCCCAGGCCAAAAAGCAAGAGCATGATTTAAGTGCACACACACCCCTTCCCCCAAGAGGCAGGCCTTGGGCCATTGAATATGTCAGATGGTTTAAATGTTTTTTCTTTAGAATTGCCCAGGAATGATACTTTAGAAATTATAGATAGTATAACTATTACTGACTTATAAAACTTCTTGCCTGTGTTCACAGGTTGAATTAATTGATTTCTGCATCGCTTGTATTTGGGGGAGTGTCATATATCTACCTTTCTTAATTAAATTCTAAAATTGGATGTAGGTCTCTGACCCACCAGAAATGTATACAAAATCACATGTAGCCAAGCTGTTACACCACTGAATAGGCAAAAGGTTCATCATTCCAGCAGATTACTGCATTATATTTTCTGCCAAATAATAGCATCATATATGCCTTTATTATAGACGTTTTCATATAAATATTACCTGTTGCTAAGTCCAGCTGATCTTTGCCAGTTTGCTTTGCTGTCTGGGGATTTGCTAGCACAAATGAAGCAAATGTTAAGGGGCAGTGCCCGCTTCTCCTGGGGAATGGTTACATCCTCAGTACCCAGCTAGGGGTGAACGATGCTGCCCAGGACAAAATGATAATTTAAAGCAGCATTCCAGTGATCTGGAATTAATGCCTAAATGCTAGGAGGCAAGTGAATTTTCTCTCTAGTATATCCAATATCTTACGATCGAAGAGTGTCACATTTTGCACTCTGAAAAGTTCTTTTCTGGGTAACGTGACCATAACAGCCTGTTAGTATTTGTATAGGTGCAAGTATGACCCTGCATCTGCTTTACTAAGCCTGAGCATTGGGCTCAGAGTCTCAACAACTACAGTCATGGCTGTTCTAATGTATTCTTGCAGGCAGATGACATAGCAACTATTGTTGTTTGATAAGTCCTATTAAAAGGCCTTTCTACTTATTTATAATTTTGCCAAACTTGACCAAAGTAAGCTGAAATTGCTTTTGCTTTTATCTACTTGATTTCTTCTTTCCTCTCAAAGTGGAAAAATAGTTCTGTTCATGTTACAAAAGTCTTGCAAGTTTTTTATTTAAATGCCTAATAATCTGTGTGCTCTGGATGAGGTTTGCTCACCTCTGCAGCAGGGGTTTCCCTTTTGTCCTCTTTGTGGAAATCTGACCAAAAAAAATAAAAAATAAAAAAAAAGCACCTATTGTCAGGTAGGCAGTGCAGGCTTTACTGGAGTTTGACAGCTAAAATATCCAAGGACTCCCTTTCCCAGGAGCATGGTAAGGCTCCTTACAGGAGCCCCGTGAAACTACCCACATGCCAACAGTAAAAAGTATCTGGACACATTGCAGCTTAGGGCTATGTGGACTTATGGACATTTCCACTGCAGAGCCTACAGAGAAGGCTCAGCCACTGCTGCCCAGGAGAGCAGGAAGCCCTTCCTTCTCCTGCACTGCCAGCGGATGCATCCAGGATCCAGGTGGCCCTTGACCTCGATGTGGGCGAAGGAGGAAAGAGAATGAAAAAATAGAGAAGGGAAAAAATCAGGACAAGTTGACATTGGTGTGAGACAGGGGAGATAAATAGTCACTGAGGGGTGAAAAGACAGAGGCTGATTAAGTAAGAGAGAGTTGAAAGTTAATGAGAAAAACATGGGGAATGGGGAGATGTTTGTCTGGGTTGGGAGCACAGAGGGAAAAGATCCTCTTGGCTGGAAGAGATGCTCAAGAAATGAAGGAGAGATGAGGTTCATCTGGAGAAAGAGTCTGCTGTTAGGAGACAGAGTGGGGAAAAGGGCAGAGAGAAAATCTTGGGGGGAGAGGAGGAGAAACCAAAACCACAAAATTAAGACCCAGAAGAAGAGCTTAGACTTGAGAGGCAGAAAGCCTGGGGGAGCCTGGGGTAACCTGGCTGGGCAGGAAGAGCACTGAGAAAGTGTGTATGAAGGTGGTGTTTTGGGGAGACTGACACTATGTAATTGGGCCTGCTTAAGTAAGGAGAATGAGGAAATCAGGTGGATTTGGGAAGGGTTAATGAGCCTCCTTTAGCGAGGGAAAAAGAGGTGGTGTGTGAGAAGAAGAATAAAAGACTGAAAGATACTGGGAGTTAAACAGTGAACTTAGAAGATAACCAGTGCAAGCAACCAGTTGTAAGGTGAGAAAATTGAGGACCATGGAGGGTAGGTGAGCAAAGAGGCTGGAGAAAGGATAAAGAGCAACCACTGGACAGGAGAGGTGACTGAAAGGAAAGCTGCTTGCGGGGAACTCCACAAGGATGTAGGCAGAAACCCATGCAGTAGCTGGGCAAAAGTTCCCCTGCAAAGCTGGACAGAAAATCTGCCAGGCAGCCCAGCCCCAAAGCAGGGGTGCTCTCAGGGCCCTGCCCCCAGGAAAGCAAATGACAAGAGTCTCCCCATATCAGGACTGCTACTGCAAATGTTTGCTTTGGGACCTCTGTGGCAAGCGTCTGTGTGCAGGCTCTGAGGGTGTTCATATGATGCTCCTTTAGGGAAGTGTAGTGTAGGAGGGGAAGCCACGCACAAAACCATGCACAGAGATATAGTCTTAAAAGTATATTTCACAGACTTGAATGCTAATAGACACAACTATCTTTTGGAGGAGAAAAAAATTCAGGAAAAGTCCCTCGCACTTAAAATGCATGCAGTTTGTGATGATCCCTAGACTTTGTAAGAGCTGTTCCGCAGCCTTTTGTTGTTCTTGGAAATACCATCTCCTGCACAAATAAGCTTTGTTACCGCTGTAAAGAGTTTCATGTTTATTCTAGAAATGAAATGATCTTTTTAAGCCATTGAGCACTTCAGGAAGAGAACCAAAACCCTGAGTCTGCTTCAGTTTTCTGTGGCAAGGCAACATGGCGAGCCAAGGCCAGGTCCACTTATTAGTACAGGTTTCCATTAATGTTTCTTCTGGAGCTGAATATTACCCATAATTGTTTATGCTGGACGTTTGCATTAACTATTTTCAATTTTACAAACAGACAGTGTCTGCGTGTGCATCTGTCATTGAAAATCAGGTTCAATGGCACATATTCTGTGCAGCTCTGTTCCTCTTCTTCCTTTTGGTCCTCCACTTTGTTGTTCACAATACCATATCCCTGTGGCAAACACAGATAATACTTACTAGGAAGAGTAATAAGAATAAGGTATTTAATGTATTTCTAGCCTTCTTAATGTGGTGTAGCTGTGAACACAAGGCAAAAAGCAACACCGTATGACCATGCTACTTTGGGAATGGTCTATAAACTGCAGTTAAAATAGTTTCAGGATATTTATGCAGTGCATAAGTCACATGAATAGAGGTTTATCACAATCAGTAGGAATGCTGGATTTTCATATCACACATTTGCTGCTTAGGATGATTAGCAGGAAATTTAATTTACACTAATTAGCCTTAGGGGAGCAAGAAATTAACTTGATGGGTAAATTCCACTTTTTACTATATACCATACCAACATGGAGAAATTTGAGTTAAAGCTGGAGCTGAGTCCTGTACTGATACACTGGACTTTGATTTTTCTAAATTAAATTAAAAGACTGTAGAAAATTAATATATGTGTGGTGAGTGGGTGGGGGATTTTTGGAGCTAGAGTCAGAACAGTTCTTCAACATATTCATTGAATTGTCAGCCACTTCCAGAGACCATGCTATATTTTTGTACATTAAATTACATTAATATCTAATATTGCTGCAAAAGCTTTAACAAATCCTAATCTTCAGTATTTGTATATTTTCATTATATAACGTGTTATGACTGTGCCTGCAATACTCCACATTGTAATGCACAGAGCAGGAACAGTTTTCACAGAACTACTGTGAAAATGCCATGCTTTTTCATTTACAACACCCACTTGTAAATACATTTTTAGGGTCAGGAGCCTTTGTTCATATGCTGGCAAAATTCCTATAAAAACAGTTCTTTAAGAAATCACTCTCAAAAGTATACAGCAGATGAGGGAGGCAGGAGTCACAATGTAGTCCTAATAGACAAGTAAGAATTAGGAACTAATAAACTCCAATCTTGCCTGTTGATGGTGATTTTTCTATCTCATTCTTCCAAACACAGTTTAGGTCTCCTGGTTTTTCCTCTGTAAAATGGAGGCAATTTTTATGTATCCACCAGTCAGAATTTCTGTGGACTGATTAATGCATGCAAAGCAATGAGTCATTTGGTATTGAAGTATCATTCTATTATAAACTGAAGTGTTGTGTCATACCAGGCTTGTGGTTTCATCCAAATTTATCTGTAGGAAATGGAAGTGAAAAACATCAGTGGCATAGGAGATAATCGTGTTTGATATCAATGCTTCTGCTAGTTTGTGCATCTGAAGTACACTCAGAAGCTCACTATTACTATTACCTGTTTGGGATTAGACCTTGTAGTACTTACCTGAAATTGCTATTGAAGTGAGAGGTGTGACTTCAGTAAGAACTTTGGTTGAGTATGTATTGCAGAATTGGGAGCCTTGAGTCCATAGTTAGGGGTTTAAGTGGCATGTGTAAGGTAGTTCAGGAGCCTGCTCAGACTTTGTAGCCTATGACATAAATAATTCTGGTCTAAACAAAGATCTTAGATAGACCTGTGGGTAGTCATATATTGGGTCACATGCATCATATTGCATTCTCAGGTCCTTCTTCAATCTCCAGGACTCTGATTTCTAAACAGTAGCTCTCCTATTCAATCAAGAATGTGTGTGCATGTGTGTGTGTATGGTGGATGGGTATATGTAAATAAACCTGTGCCCACACACAGACAAACTACATGTGTACACAATCCCCCCTGTATAAATGTAGTTTGCCTTTTTTGGGTGTACGAGTATACTTCTGTAAATGCTCAGGACTCGTATTTATATGTTTATGAGTAATATCCAACATTCAGTCATAATTGACACCATGTGGCTTTCTGTATAATAATTACTTTGGGACAAAAAAACCTTGCAGATGGTTTCAAGAGTGACTCTAACTCATCATCAATGTAAAGAGATTAAATAAGATGATGAGCCCGTTGCCTCTGAATGGAATAAGCCATTTTCATTGATTTCAATGGGAGCAGGCGCAACTTCATTTCTACAGCAGACAGAGAACATGTATTATATGCGTTAAATGAAAGTTTGATTTCATTGCACTTAAAATTATTCATGTTCTGTTAGCAAATGGTTTGAGATTTTATAACCTAGAGCATTTGCTGAATTCTGCTTTGTATTTTCCTCACAGCCATTGGAAGGACCCTCATTCCTCGTTATTTTAGCACTGTCTTTGAAGGAGGTGTAACAGACCTGTATTACATTCTCAAGCACTCAAAAGAGTCATACCACAACTCATCCATCACAGTGGACTGTGATCAATGCACCATGGTCACTCAGCATGGAAAACCCATGTTTACCAAGGTAACAGGGAAAACTCAATAAAGCATGTTGTTTTTTCTTTTTCCGTGTGTGTAAGGTGAAATATATTGGCTGTTGCATTTTTCTGGTAGACTGAGATTATTTCTAATACTGAAAACCATTGAAGCCATTTAATTACTATTTTCTGTGTTCATTACATGACTGGAAAATTCTGTGGGCATCCTCTGCAATTCTCCCAGAAAGATTGCAAGAGAAGCACATAATGCCAGGTTGCTAGAACTATCAGTTGTACATGAATTAAATTCAGCCTGCACATCTCATTTTCTCTGGGCTTGATTTTAAAGTGACAATGAGGTTTCACATTGCTGGTACCTACCATTTGGGAAAGTATGCATTACGGTTGATACTTACCTAGTCCAAGGACTATAAATCTCTAGGAAAATAGTGATTTGATACAGTAGGATGCCAGTCCAAAGGGCAGTGAAGTCGATGGAAGGACTCAATTGATTTAGACATGTTCTGGATCAGGCAGTTAGTGAATATTCAATATTTGTAATTGATAGTGAATTATCTTCATGCATAGGCCACTTCTACTCCTGTAATTAAACTGAGTGCCATATACTTATAAAAAACAGTACCAAAGAGGTGGAAAATACAGATTAAACCAATTTTTTTCTCATATTAAAAAAAATCAGTAAACTGATTTTCAAAATGGAAATGTCCCCTTTCATAAATTACAGGGAATTATAATTTTCCATTTTGTACCTGTTAGTCTGTATGAATTTTAACCTTTGCATGGAGAAAAGCACAGAAGTAGAAGGGGGAGCCAGAGGAGATAACCCATGCATGCTGCCCTTGGCCTGCAGGACTGTGGAGGTTTTAGTCTCAAAAAGGCACCAGCTATTGACACCATCGTGACCAGAGCCTATATGGCTTACACTGTTTTAGCATGTATGTGAGTCCCACCCCTGCACAGTGCCTTCCACTGCCATATTCATGGCTCTTGGAGTGGGGCTCAAGGCAGAGGGAGAGGGAGCTGGTGTGCGGTGGGAGGTGTGCGTTCAGTGGTGGTATCATTCCAGTGCTCCCACTCCAGCCCCCTGTGACTGACACAGACAGAGAGACAGGTGCCAAGGGACCAGCTATTCCTAGGTAACACCTCTTTGCCCCCTCACTGTTCATGAGGAGCTGTGTGTGCTGGCCATGTGCAGAGGATGTGATGAGGGCATACAGTAACTGCTTCTCTGTGGAGCTCCCTAAAGTGATTTCTGTGTCATTTCCCTTTGTGATAGCTTTAATGCAATAGCAAATAAAAGGGAGGTTTTCTGGAACCTGTAAATATAACATGCTTTTCTCAATTCACTTAGTTTATTTTACTTATCATAGCAGCACATGTAGTGTTGTTACTCTGGAAAGGAGGCTGGGTGTACACCTTGTGTGAGGGGAGCCACATTCACCTCCCACCACAGCGTCCTGCTGTGCACTCTGAGCCTCTCCATCTGCCTCAGCCCTGATGTTTCTGCTGCAGATTCCAACAGAAACCTCTGTATCCTGGTAGAAAAGTTCAGGTGGGGATGTGATTTGGATTCTAGGGGGAAAATTAGAGGGGTTTAATGGCTGTATGTTTAAAATATGACTGTGTTAGTAGGAGCAAATTTCAAGTAAATCACTGCAGTTGGTGGAATAAGTGAGGAAAGAATATATTACTCACTCGGAAATAAGTTAGAGCTGAATGTTGTCTCAGCTGTGCGTGTGTAACTTCTGGCAGAGATACTGAGGGCACAGATCTGGTACCCAAAGGTAAACTCCTACTCTAATAGCATTGGTGGTGGAACAAAGCAGAGCTCCCATAACAAGCAGTGCTCCAGTGGACTCTGTAGCTCCCTAGCTCATGTCTGAATTTGACCCAGTGAAACTACCACAAAGGGATTAATGGAAAAATACAAACTAACTAGATTTGTTAGTAGCTGTTGCAGTTTGACAAACAACTTCTAAGCTGCAAATTCGCTAACTTCTAATAAAATGGGCTGAAACAGTTCTCATTATGTATTGAATCAGGAATCCACAGCTGCATTTTATTCATTTCAACATTTTCCTAGTTAGAGCAAATCACTGCATGCTGCAGTATTGGATGAATGTAGAAAATGGCATTTCCAATTTTTTTTTTTTCAAACAAATATAGCTAGAACGTGGCTAACAGAAAGAATATGAATAGTCCTGCTGGTCTTCAGAGGGCAAGAGATCTTTATAAAGTGTCACACACTTAAAAATTGTTTTATCAAGATGTAAGTAAAGAATTTAATATAGTTCAGTGGCATGAATTAAATGTGATAAAAGAGACTGAAGCCCTGACTACTGTATTTGTTTACTTGGCAGGTGCCTCATTTTTTTCTCTAGATAAAGGAAAGCTTTAGGAGTCTTCCTAAGCCTGTTTTCACCATGTTTACTGATCCGTCAACTTCATGTGTAGGCAAGCTGTTTTTCTGCATTTAGGGATGTTTCTGTTTCCTGGTAGACTGGCAGCTTTACCTCCCACTAGAGCAGTGAGCACCCCATGTTCAAACCATTCTCTTCCTGTGCCGAATCATGGTGCCATCAGCTGGATTTTATAGGTGAAGCTCTTGAAACTCAGTCATTTTAATCCTTACTAACAATCTTAGGCATTTCCCAGATTTGTATAAGCTTTAGTGTTCTATTCAAGCAAGGACTCATGTTGGAGGAATAGTAGTTAATAAAAAGGGAAGTCTTGTAAAAGATGCCTGGTAGTAGGAGGGTGAGACTGAGCAATAAGGCACAAAACCAGAACTGGTTTTCATAGGTGCAAGCATTTGAAATTCCTACAATTAATAAGTGCAGTGAAGGGGTTAAAAAGCTATTGGTTAGTTTGAGAAATGTTCTTTTTTAGTTTTTTCCTGGCCTAGTCTAGAGCAACCACGTGACATTCTGAATGCCTGCCAGCCTCTTTCTTGTTGATCCTCCGGAGACCATCTGTGCTGGGGGCATTGATTAGAGTGTGTCTGCTGGGATTACATCTTTTCTGTTGCCATGCCAACTAATCAGCTGATTTTGGTTACCACAGAAACAAAATGTCAGAGCTCACAGTACGGTAACATGAATTCAGCACAACAGAAAATGTTTTCTTAATTGGAGACCCTTTTGATTTTTTGGATTCGATGTAAAAGGCAGCTATATATATATATATAAAATTAAATTATGAACTGTGCCAATTTTATTGATTAAAAGCAATGCAAAAAATTCTGCTCTACATAAGGAAATTAAATGCCCTTCTAAGATGTCTAAATTTTTACCATTGTGATACGAGGAATGTGTTTCAGTTTTCCTATTAAAATTTGTTAATGCCAGTGCATAAAATAAATCTGTTAAGACCGGAGGGGTTTTGAGCTTAAGAGAATAAACATTTGAAGAGCCATAAGTATTATTAAGAAAAATATTTTCCATCTGAAATATTTTCATGTTAACTGGTCAGTAATTGAGATCTTTGACCTCAACACAGTAACATTAATATAAAATGTTTTTCTTCTTGTATGAATCCTTATGTGTGTGTGTATGTGTACCTCTGTAATTTCTCATCACAGTGCAAGTGATGCGAAAATCAAAATCAGGGTCAAATGACAAAATAAGTAATATTTAAAACTTGAAGACATCACTAAGGAGTGTTGAAAAGGGCAGATGAGAACCTGTTGCAAGATTCTCCTTCACAGGATTATAGTATTTTGTCTATGTAGTATGCCTCTACAAATTACCTACATGTTTCTGCAGAAACAATCAGGAGGAAAAACACTGATGACGTTAAGGGAATGGCTAACCAGAAAAGCCTTATACTGCCCAAGTAGGAGCTAGTCAAATCTGAGTTGAGGCTTGTAAAAAGGCTCAGCAGGCTTAGCTGAATATAGGATGGCTAGTTGTTCAATCAAACACTCTTTGTATTAAAATTAAAGTTGCAGAAATATTTTTTTTTGAAAGCAGTTGTATCCTGTTTCCACAATATCTCTGTACCCTGTGCTTGCAAGTTTACTTTGAACATGAGTTGTAAGACTTAAACATCATTTTAAAAAGAAAATTGAAAAAAAAAATCAATGACAGAGTTAGTGAATTTTCAGATCAGGCATGATTTACAGTACTCTTCCATACCCCTAGCAAAGATATCATGCCGAGTGTATATTTTGCACCTTAAAGAAGATCACAGCCTCAGCAGTTTCGCCACATGAAGTTGTGAGCAGTTTAAAAGTCCCCAGTAGTTTATTTTATTTTTCATTTCCAGGTAGTACCTGCTTACTGCATTTGTTCCTCCATATTTTCTCTCCTTTGTTAGGGAAGACTCCCTCACGAAGCTACATGAGCCACTTTCTGTGAAAGCAGCCTGTCCATGACCACAACCTGCCTCTCAAACCTGCCATGGCAATGCAGTTCATACAGCCTGATGGCACACACCCCATCTGGCTCCCTTTGGAAAGGGGAATTAATAAAAGTAGATAAGAAATTAAAGAAAAATTAAAAATGAGATCAAATGCCTGGAAAATGCAAATACGCTTGGAAAAGACAGGAAGGGGAAAAAATCAGATTTGGCCACAGGCATTCGGGGCACTGTGAACTCCAACTGGACAAGGAAGGAAGGTGTATATGCCAAGCTATTGTGAGGAAATGGCATTCTAAAAAGAGATTGTGAATGACTGGTTCAACAACTTGATGTCAGGCACATGCAGTTACACCACAGCCACCACCACTGCAAGGTTCAGTCATTAATTAGCAGTAGTGGACTGTGAGGGAAAAAGAACTGATGCAAAAAAAATAAGATTTAGTGAACAAAATACTCTGTGTTTGCAAAATGCTATAAAATCTATAGTATTATAAGTTACCATCTCCACAGTAAGGCCTATGAAGCCATTTTCTCCCCTTGTTTTCTGTTCTCTTGAGGAGGAAAACCGAATCTAGCAGAGATGAACAATGGAATATTGCTCTGGTAGTTTTGAATGTTGTTTAACTGATGATACAGTACCATTGAAAACAAAATTCCTGGGAATTTATTTCATGCATTTTGTGTATTCTAGGTATGCACAGAAGGACGTCTTATCTTGGAGTTTACTTTTGATGATCTTATGAGAATAAAAACATGGCACTTTACTATTAGACAGTACAGAGAATTAGTCCCACGCAGCATTCTAGCCATGCATGTAAGTAATCATTTTTAACTTGACCTAATGCAAAGAAATGAGATTAGGTTTATGAAGAACTCCAGCAAATTTCACACCCAAGGCAATTAACTATAAATATTTTGTTTTGCCTGCAACTACATCCATTTACAAGTTCTTTCATCACTCTCTTGTTTCTAAGTGCTCTATTGTTGCCACTGTTGCTATGTTTTCATTCTGGTTTAGCACATGGTTTTCCTTTTATCCCATTTGGTGGTTTGTATTATTTGGGCCCAAAAATGTGTTCTTATTGATATGAACTACACTAAAGCCAGTGAATTTTCATCATCGTAGGTATGAATTATATTTAATCTATAAATGAAACAAACTGATGTTACCCTTACATGAGACAGAAAATAAATAATTGCCATATATTAACTTAGAAATCTTTAGAATTTTAATCCATTTTTAAGATTTAAAAGACTTTACTTCTGTAATTGAATGAAAAGACACACAACAGAACATTAAAATATTGAATATTCTACAATTTGAAGTCAAAATATTACAAGGTAAACTGTTGCCAAGAAACAAAGGACCGAGTCTTACTGCCACTTTCAGTTCTGCACCGTAGAAGCATTCCAGCTAGTAGTGCCCCATTTACAAAATTAATTGCAGGACTGTGGTTTTATAGAGGGTAAGAACACAGGCTGAAATATGTGCCTATATTTTGACATTGGGATACTCAGATATCCACAGACAATGACATATTCTTAGTGAAGACTTTTAAATACCTGAGGAAGCCTGGACTTTTCTGAAAATGCTTTTACAAGCCTGAAGAAAGTATCTTTGAAATGCTGCCCCACCATTTCTGTCCTAGGGTTGTCTTTTATTATAGAGGGCTGATCTTCTGAGCTCTTCAGCAGTATCCCATTAAAGGACAATGAGGATGGCCATAAGCAAAATTATGTATTTAGAGGGCTGCTGCAATTCAAAGAGGGGAAACAGGTTAGCCAGCAACCAGCAGGTATTAATTTTAGTAATGAGATTGATCTAATTTTAAAGAGAAGGCTGGTCTCATAGGTAAAGCTCCTGGCTAGGGTCAGAGAAGGACTGTACTTGCATGTTTCCTGTTTAATTCTGGGAAAATAACTTGGACCAGAAGGGTTCTCCAGCCTGTGCTTAGTGCTGCTTATGTGATCAGCGGTGCTGAAGGTGCCTTGATGAGTTCTCTCTGGTTCAGTTCCTTATGCACAAAGAGAAAATGATACTTTCTTTATTCCTGCCTTTATCTGCTTAGTTTCCTGGGGCTTCCAGCCAACAAATGGAAGGGTCAAAGTGGGCTGTGATCCCTCAGGAACCATTTTGGTAGGGTCCTGTTTACTTGTACCCTTGCACGTGACTGGACCTCCTAGGTCTATGGGTAGGGAGAGAAGGAAAATATTGGAAAAGAGTCTTTATTCTGCTCCAGTTTCATACTGTTTTACATTTTCCTGTGCAAACAGAACTCTGTAGCTTATTACATAAATTTAGCATCAGTGTGTAATTTTTCCACAGGAGTAGTATCTCTTTTCAGAGGACCTTCCCTGCACTCCACCAAACACACAGAGAAAAACAAAGAGACAAAAAGCAAAGTGAAAATTCTTTTTTTCCTCTGTTGTTTAGGCACAAGACCCTCAGGTGCTGGAGCAGCTGTCCAAAAACATCACTCGAATGGGTCTGACAAACTTCACCCTCAACTACCTCAGGGTAAGCATACCATAGCTGGTGATTATTGTGAGCATTTTTTAAAAGTTACTGTTAGCTTTGAGTCAAAGTAATGAGAGCAGAGCCTGTGTCGGTCAGGTAAGAAATGGACCTAACCCTTAATGAGGGTAAAGGAGAAACACAGAGACTGTAATAAAGATGTAGCTGCTAACAATGTGCCATTAAAAAGGGTAAGAATTTTATCATAGAGTCAAAGCAATATGTGAGTAGCCTCTGTTTTTAACAGTCTTTTGTCTCAGTTTTGAATAATGGCTTTATTTTTTTGTAAGCAAGAAGTTCCCCACCATTTTTCGCTCTGCTTCACTGTTCCTGGGAAAATGGCAGCTCATTCTTATTAAGAGCTGTCTGTCTTCTCCAGCTCTTCGACCTCCCCACCTCTCCCAGGCAGGGCAGGGCTGAGCAAATGCTCAGCAGCAGTCCCTCAAAGCAGTCCTCAGTTCGCTTGCCTCTGGGAGCCTGAGCTCCCTCCTCAGCCTTGCACTGAATCGAGTGTGTTTTTTGTGATTAAATAATGCATTTGTTCCCATTGCTTTTTGACCCTTAAAGTGCATTCAAAGTTTGGAAGTTTATTTTTATTTTTGAAGGTATTCCCTGGTGTTGCAATGCATACAAAGACATACAAATTTGTAGAGTTCATATTTCAAGGTTATTTTTTTTTTTTATGTATTTCTAGACATGCCATTAGTAGATAAAATGAGGCAAATTGTTCAGTGATACATCCAGCTAACTTGGCCAAGAATACCTGATTTTATTCCTTTTAATTGTGTAATTATTCAAGATGCTTTTTTAAGATAAGAAGAACAGTAGAAAATGCAGTGATTTTCAGCCTAACTTGGAGCTGTACCTGACAGTCTGTATTTTAGCTGTACTTCACTCAGGTTTATGAACCTTGTAATACTGTCCCTGTGGATGGAATCCTACCCTCAGTGTGTTCTGAACTCCAGGGGGGACAGTGTGCAGGACTGAAATGTGTGGTGAGATCTCTCTCACTGTGTCCCTACAGCTTATGGACAGCCTGTAGATATGCTTTCTCTCCCAATATAATAAACTATTGCTGATTGTTGCTTAAGCTTTATGGCATAAAACCTCAGAGGCATAATAAACTGCATTAGAATTCTTCCATGTATTAACTCAACAATCATATGTCTATGTTGTGTGCATTGTGTTCTCAAGGTTAGTGGTTTGATACAGAGAATGGCCATTGGGCTTTGGCAACATCCCTATAGCCACACTGTCACTGTCTCCTGGTGAGGCACCCTAGAGCAGGTTCTCAGGATTCCCACTGGGGATTCCTCCTCAGTCACACCAAGTTTTGCATTACACCAGGTGGCAAACTGGGCAGCAGGCAGCTGGCTCAGGTAGGCTATTTCCATGTTTTCTTTACAATTGTCCCGTGGTATATAAGGCATTGCTCTGCTTTTGAGGTCTTTGATCCCCTTAGCATAACAAGACACACATCAGCAAACACTTGGGGTAGCCCACACCAGCCACAGTACTGAGCACCCATCCTCAGAAGGTTTGGGTGGCCATGCTGAATTTCAGCCACTATCTTTGTCACTGACCCCTTCTGCCTTCTCTGTGGCATATTTGGTAATTGCTGAATGTGACAATGCAAATGAGAAAGGCAGGGTCCCTGTTAGGATGCAGTTGGTGTCAGGCACCCATGCTGCTCCCCCCATCAGCATCAAAAAGAAAAGCAAGAAAGGAAGAGGGGGGAGGGAGGAAAAAAAATCCTCAGAAAAAAGAAAACTGGGATCAAGATAAGCACTAGAGAGAGATGAGCAGTTAAGTGGAAAGGGATGAAAAGATGAAGTCTCTTTTTCTTCTTCCAGACTAGTTTTGTTAGCTTAACAGACAACATCAGGTCTCTGGGTGCAAGGCTTCCTCTGGCTCCTGCTGTGGTGATTCCAAAAGGAAATCTTTTTTTTCCCAAGCCAATCTTTGTGTGTCTCTTTCTTGCGGTGAGGAATTGATCATTCCACTCTTTTTTTTTTTTCTGATGTTCAGCTCATCATGGGAGCTCGTATTACATTGTATATTTCCAATTTTATTTACTTCTTTCCCAATTACTTTCTTCTGATAATTTTAGCATGAAAATCTTTTTTGAACACAGGATTGTAAAATCACGCACTAAAAAAATGTCATAAATTCACTTAGGTTTAAGGTAGTTTATTTTGTGGGTTTTTTTTTTTTTAAAGTCAGCATTTTATGATATTCTGTTTTTGCAGTGTCTAGTAATGAGCAGTTACATGGTTTTGAATAAGGATTTGAAACTAATCATAAAAATTATTTTCATTTTATTCTGCTGCACACAGCAAAGACTTGTGATCCTCATAAGTGAAATCTTTGCTGATGGGCAGAATTAATCATTTTTATTCTCCAACGTGCACATAGCAGCAAGCTGTGCTGCAGTCTCTTTAAAGGCAGAATTTAACCCTGGATTTCAGATGGTTCTGATATAAAGGTATAGCCTGTGTTTTTTACACTCTAGACATCACAGAATGCTAAATCATTGCTAGTTGGGATAATTGCAGTTGCTGGCACAGAAAGCTCTGCTCCAGAGTGCCACATGCCTGTAGAGCCCCAGCTTTGGATACATGCCATGGTTTGTCTTCACTCCCAGTAAAGCTGTCCAGCATAGGAGAACATCGATTTTGTAAATCGTATTTAATACGAATTTAAAATATATCTTCTTGGAACCTGGAAATGAAATGTTTTGTCCTGTGTCATTTGCCAAATGCTCTTTA